AGGAAATTCAAATGGGAACAGAGAGAAACATCGGTGTCAATTTAACTGTACTCTCAACCTGCAGGTTTTGATAACGATAAATATAAAACAAATATACTGACAACTGCTGATCTTTAACATCAAACATACTACTGATGTAGTTAATATTTTCAGAAATATTGCTTTTTGCAATATTTCTTTTCTACTTCTTTTTACAGAAATTACCAACTGTAGTAACAACCAACAAAACGCATATACGTAAGCGTACAAACGCTCATTAGTGGATGAGGTTCTAAAGTTTTTCAAAATTCTTCGAGCAAAGTATTTGACACAAGTATTCAGTTCTAATTCTTTTACTTTTCTTCATATCTCGACTTCTTACCTAAATTTTTTACACTTTTAATGAAGGATAAAAAACGTCTTCCATTACGCTGTTGCTAATCTGTTGTAATTTATGGTAAATAGATACTGTCAAAATTGTTTAACTACTTTTCTACATTATTGAACTTACTGTGTTTCTTCTTCTTAGGGATTACTTTGTAGAATTTTGAAAATTTTACGCCATTCTGTAATGCGGTTGCTTTTGTACAACAAAAATACTGAAAGATTTATTTTGATGATAAATTAAATTCCAGATTTTATATATTTTTCAACGTTGCTATATGCGCAAAACATAGCAAATATTTGTACACAGTTTATCAACACAATTTTTTTCTGATTTATTTAGGTTATTTTTTTTTTTTTGTTGTTATGTTTGGCTTTTTTTGTTTATTACTGTACATCGTAAATTGTTTCTTTTTAATTGAGAAGCTGCCAAATGCAAATATTCTTACTTTGTTTTTTCTAAAATTTTTTTTACTGTTTTTTTTTTTTCAAATTTTTCTAGTACTACAAAAACTGCTTCAACAATTGAATGACTGATTTTTGCCTTTGAAAAAAGATATGTACAGTTTAATGGCGATCATGTTAATTTTATCTTTCATTTTTGATCAGTGTTTATTATGAAAATATCTTTGAAAAGTGTAATTTTAAGATCTTGAATTTAGCATTTTGTTTTAACCGCCATTTATAGGGTAACGAGTAGACGGTAGAAGAAGCAGAAAGATGGCACAGCGTGGCTCAATGATCAGATCTTTGTCACAAACAAAAATTGCCAAGGCATTGGCCGGGGTTGAGCTGGAACAAGGCGAAGTTGTTAAGATGGATGAGGGTGTAACAGCTCGATCGGAGGGCAAATTTGTGTTTGAATGTGCATGGGAAGTAGCCAATAAGGTTAGCTGGATCAAAAATTTTTTGAAAGATTTTTACAATTAATATGCTCCAGCAAACGTTGTAGTTGTGCTGTGGAGATTTTGATAGGAGAGAAATGAGAGTATCATCTACTGTTTCCATGGGTTTCGCAATCAAATTCTGTTTGAAGGTTGGTGGAATTTATACTGTATTGCGTAGTAAAGCACCAATAAGTACTGAAGAATTGGGAGATCAATACTGTGCTCTAGGACCATTAAGAGAAGAAAGATGGCGACTAGAGGTTGAGCAGATTGAGCCGGAAAGTAGAAACATTCGAGCTGCACTGAGAAAACTAAACGAAGGTGGTTTCAAGGTACGAAATTTCAAGTCTGATTTAGCAGTTGAAATAAAAATAATTTCTTGTTTATCATTTCAAATAGTTCTTGCACTTTCTCTCTTTTTTTTCAAAAGTATTAAATGTTTCAAAAAGGTTAAAAAAGAAGATTTTTGAAAGAAATGTTGGTATAAAACTGAAATTTACTTTTACTTTCTGTTAAAGTTTACTGATAATTAAAGATTACTATTTTAACAGTGTTTTTTTCCAAATACAGAATTAAAATTTAGGCAATTTATGGACGTTGGTTAATCGATGGTTATCCAAAAGTAGTTCTCTTTGACTTAGGTTCCGGTTCTGTTAAAATGAACGAGTGGAAACAAGAACTGTTTGAAAAGTTTGTCTAATTTTTATATGATTATCATTGCTTACAGTCATTTTATTGAAAAAGAGGTGTAGTGTTTGCGGTGAAAGTTTGTGGTTGATTTATTAGATTGAGAAGATGAGAAACAAGGGTGAGTGTAAATTAGCACATAACTGGTGCTTTGTTTACGGTTTAGTTTTCAGGCAAAGTTCTTAGCACAAATTAATAATGATAGTTTTAAAAAGTTTATTTAACTGTTACTAAAATCACAACCTTTCAAGCTGAAATAATCACAAAAAGCAAAACATGTAGAGCATTAATGTTTGCAAAAAAATCAAGTTTATTTCAAATTCTGCAATTTAGGCAGAGCTAAACTGAGTTAAAAATTTTAGTTAAATATGAACTGTGTCTTAAAAATATTATAAAAAATGTTTTACTTTTTAGATGCAAAATTGGAATTCCACATGAAGATATCGAGTCAAATGATGTGGTTATTCTTGGTTTTATGATTGCCATGTTCTTGAAACATTTCCGAGAATCTATCAAAGATTATCACCCACTTATTGTTGCACATTTTCATGAATGGCAAGCAAGTTAGTAGTTTACTGATTTTTATTCATGTGTTTTTAATACTCTTTTAGACCTACCTTTATCTGCAAAATTTCCAGGTGTGGGTTTAATAATGACTCGCTTATGGCAAACTGATGTTGCTACTGTTTACACAACGCATGCTACATTGTTGGGACGACATTTATCTGCCGGTGGAAGTGATCTTTACAACAACCTTGGCAAATTTAATTTGGACGAAGAAGCTGGAAAAAGAAAGGTAATTTCAATATAATGATATTTTGTGCTTTCTGCACAAACTCCTCCTCTCTGTTATTTTTTCTAAATTTTAGAAAGGTTTAAATTTGAAATTAAAGTAAACTTTTACTTAGATATATCATCAATACTGTATGGAACGAGCTGCTTGCCATATGGCACACGTGTTCACCACAGTTAGTGAGATAACTGGTTATGAGGCAGAAAATTTGATTGGTAGAAAACCTGATATATTGACACCGAATGGCCTCAATGTAGTAAAGTTTGCTGCGCTACATGAGTTTCAGGTGAATTACTTTTTTTGTTTACCAATGCTTAACAATTAAAACTGTAAACTTTTGGCTTTGGTTTTTTAAATTTATCTATTTCTATTCAGTTTCTATTTTTCTGCTTGTTATTATTCTGCTTAAATAGCTTACTAAGCTAAATTTTTCAAACTCGCCTTTCTATACTGTAATGGTCATGATGAACTGAAACGAGTGGTATTTTTAGAATCTTCATGCAATCGCCAAAGAAAAAATCAATCATTTTGTCAGAGGACACTTCCACGGTCACTATGACTTTGATTTGGACAAAACTCTTTACATGTTTACCGCCGGTCGTTATGAATTTACCAATAAGGGTGGTGATATGTTTATTGAAGCTTTAGCTCGTCTAAATTACCTTTTGAAGACAACGACTGACCCACGTTATAACGATGTAACCGTTGTGGTCTTTATCATTTATCCTGGTATGGACAAAATTTGGAATACTAATCTGAATATCTTTTTTGAAGTTTATTGTTTTTGTTAAAAATTTTTTATTTTATAACAGATTCTTCTAAAAATTATTTGTGACGATTGAATATGCCAACTATTTCTGTTAAGGATTCAGTTCATTGTAGCTCGTGCCAACAGTTTCAATGTGGAATCACTAAAAGGTCAAGCGGTAACAAAACAGCTTCATGATACCATTGATAAAATTAAAGAAAGCATAGGCCAGCGTATGTTTGACAGATGCTTAAAAGGAGAGCTTCCTGACATGAATGACATCATTCTGCCAGCAGAACGAATACAGGTAGTTTTCTGAAGTTTCTTTTGTATGCTTATCTTTCGTCAAATAGCTTTACAAGAATCTTTTTATTACGTGGTTTCTAGGTCTTTACACACCAAGTTTTGAAAATTTTATTATACTGTGTGGTTTAGCTAAAACGATGTATCATGGCTGCAGCAAAACATGAGTTGCCTCCTGTTTGCACGCACAACATGTTGGATCCTGATGACCCGGTGCTTAAAGAACTGCGTCGTACAAAGCTAATCAACAACCGAAAAGATCGTGTAAAAGTTGTTTTTCATCCAGGTGAGCCTTTATTGCCGACTTTACTGCTATCAACAAAAAAATAAGTAGCTTTTATATATGTTTTTCTCTAACATTTTGTTTCGTTAGAAATATTTTTTTTATAGAATTTCTCTCATCTGTATCACCTCTGATTGGTCTTGATTATGAAGAATTTGTAAGGGGTTGTCACATCGGTGTTTTCCCAAGCTACTACGAACCATGGGGTTATACTCCAGCAGAATGCACCGTTATGGGTGTTCCATCAGTTACCACAAACCTTTCTGGTTTTGGTTGCTTTATCCAAGTAAGTGATAAACCAAAGATCGGCAGTCCTGTCAGTTTGTATTTTTTCTGGCATTCTCATTCCTTTTTCAATAATTGCGTCAGTTCAGGAACACGTACTTGATCCAGCAACATACGGCATTTACGTGATAGATAGACGTTTCAAACAGGCAGATGAGTCGATAAACGATCTTGCACATACTCTGTTTGAATTTTGCGGTCTAACCCGTCGTCAGAGGATTATTATGCGAAATCGAACAGAACGACTAAGCGCTTTATTAGACTGGAAGAGTTTAGGAATCTTCTACAGGTAAGAGTCAAGTTATTATTAATTTTTGCCTGTTGTTTTTTTTTTTTCACTGCACATTTTCAATAACTGTGGTTTCTTTTTGTCCTCCAGTTAAGCAAAAATGCATGAAAATTGTACTTTTTAGAGACGCTCGTCGTATGGCACTTGATCGAATGTACGGAAATGTTGACGAAATAATTGCTGGCAACGAGGGTAAAGTGCCATCTGCAGCCACTAGTCGACGAGGTAGTTTCTCGAACAATCAGGAATAATGATGAGTTTTGGTCTTGATTTTCAGGTGTTTCTTTTTTTCGTCTACTTTTTTTTTTGTTTTTAGTTTGAGAATTTTTTGTTGAGCTAAACCATCATGCTATCGTTCAAAATTCTTCTTCTTAATGAAGTCCTAGTCTACTGGGTTTTCATCGTTCACACAAAAAAATAAGAAAAGAAAGTAAAGAAATAAATAGGAAGAAATGTTTTGAAGTTGTTTTAAGCAGTAAACTATGAATATGTGGCATAGTACGGTGTCGAACGATTATTATCAACGGTTTATTTTTTTTGAACTATAGTTACGCTTGGTTAGACTTTTATATAGTAGTAACATAACAAACAAAGTTGTTAGCTATAATTATAATATAGTAATAATAGTTGTTAATAGTAGTAATTAATTGTCTGTACCAGTGAAAGTTTCGCTGTTCAAATAGGTTTAGTTACTTCGTTATATGATGTTTAGTTTCTTAGTTGTATTCATTGATTTGACGAATAATAATTATGGTGTTGTATTATTTTCGTCGTTTCTTTCTTTAAATAACTGTTTTATTTTGCTACTACTGTAGGTTTTTTTGTTGATTTACTTTATTTAATATTTGTTTCCCTTTCTTACCCGTAACAGTTTTCTCTCCTTTCCTGTCACTCTTTCCAAAAAAAAGAAACGGATGAAAAAATTGTCTTATATATCATAATAACGCTTTTTTTTCGCAACTTTTTAAGATCTATTTGTCAAAAAATTTGCTGTGAATGTTGAAAATGACTTCCAGTTTTCTATTCCATTTGTTACTAAAGTTACAGCTTACAGTTTAACACCTGTTACTAGAAGTGTTTATTGTTGAAACAGATGCTGACGTTACTAAAAGAAATAGCAAAAGAAAAGAGTTTTGGTTGCTTTTGTTTTGTCACATTCGACAGCACTGGAAAAGATAATGAGGATTGGGAAGAAAATATTCCACCATAGAGAAACATAAGAAAGGAGGAAAATGATTCGTTTGTTTTTTTATTCTGCACCAATTCTTCATTTAGGTAAAGGAAAAAAAACAAAAAAAGATTGTACTTTATACTTATCGAATCTTTGGACTTTGTAGTTTCATTCCGCAGATCAGTAAGACATTCTGTCTGAGGTGTGGGTTAGGAAAAATACGTAGTCTGTACTCATTTGTTTTACGTTTACGTACTTTGTACCGTCGTACTCCACCTCTGCAACATACAATCAAGAAACTGTTGTACAAAAAAAAAAATTCTTTTTTTGTTAAAAAGGAATTTAATTCGCTATAATCTCTCATGTTCAATCGTTGTAGCTTTCCAGTTGGTAAGCGATTTGTTTTAATTGGAAAACTGTTTTGAAGGCTTTGGAAGTCAGTGCTACATGGCAGTTGCACAAGACGGAAAATACTGAGGCATTAGCTGGTTCTCACGCTTCTTGAAAACATCAGACTTTTGGAAGACTTAAGGGCACCATAGGATATGTCAATAGACATCGATTTACGACGATGTTTTCAGCACTAGTGCAGCTGTCGGGCTGAAAGTTCTTGCGCACTTAGACAGTTTCACTGAGAGTTCCTAAAAGTGTAAGAAATGTTACACGTCATAGTTTCCCAAAGTTATCGTTAACAGTAGCAATAAACCTCTTATTGAGAGTCTTCTTTGTAAAGTTTTCCTTTCTTGCAACACCGTTATCTGATTCTCTTGCAAATTAAGAGCCATGTGTTTATTAGTAAAACAAGACTAATAGTGAATTTTTTTTTTTTGTTACTGAATCTAAGGTAATCATCACCTAATCACTATTCCTGTTGCTTGATACAGCTTCTTATCTAACTACACAAGACAAATGATGATTCTTTAGGTCCAAAGCGGAGAGTCACTAGAACTTTTGCGGCTTGATTATACCGAGATTTCTGTCAAGTGCGTAGCGTTTAGATAGGTCTGAATAATGAGTGTATGAAAGGATAGAATGTTCAACTATTTTTCATTCAGATAGCCTGTCGATTTTAGCGCATTGGGACGTTAAGACTGTCGCGAACATTACTTTTGGAGCATTTATTATCTAAACAAACGTTTAAAATCAGATTTATAAAAAAAAGCGCTTCCTGAAAATACGTCTGAACAGTTCACTTGTTTTGCCTTTTAGGCTTACTATTTGTTAGTCAGCTTAAGGGTTAGTATGTTATACATTGTATTTATATGGGGAAATTTTTGACACAACCCATTCTCTGCTTGTGGTGAAGTTTTCATCTTTGCTTTGCTAAGTTATCGTCACATTATGCCGAAAATCTGATGTGAAGCAGTAGGGCTGAAAAAACACTGCTGGAATTTTGCTTTGTTAGACAGTGTTTTCAACTCAGTATATAATCTACAGATCCATATATTGATAAATTGTATCTGTTCCCATCTAATTTATTTCTACTCGTCTGTATCGCAAGCTTAAGAAACAAAGTCTTGAAGGTTAGTTGCTGGTAGTGATAAAACAGAGTGAAAAATATTTTTTTTAAAAAAATTTCACTTAATAAAAGAATGAAAAAAGAAGAATAAACTTAAGCTACGGGTATTAAAGTTTGCAACTAAAATATGGGAGTTTCGTAAAGATTGAAAGAAACAGTTGCAGAAAGATAGGGGTTAGGGGAAGAAAAAAAAGGGGCAGCTTTTTGAAAGGCATTAAAAATGAGCGCAAAAACAGATTCTATTTGGCTAGTTTCTTTTAAAGTTGGTTAACAAGTCAACCGTTTTTTTTTACAGGGTTTTCTAGAGCAGTCTTCCAGCAATACACTTTGTAGGGTCAAAAAAAAAAAAAAATTTATAAACCAACGGGTTAGTGAAATGTGAGATGAGATTTTAGATTTGGTTTTTTTTTGAATTTCAACAGTTCCCTTTACCTTCCTTCATCTTTCACTTGCACTTAACCGACAGTTCAATCGACAGTAACTTTTCAGTTCAAATCTTTTTTCTTGCTTTTTGTGCTATCAACTGATTTTTTGTGTTTAAAAAAAAAAAATATGTTTATTAAAACAAAGACAAACAATA